AACTTTATTTTTATGTAAAAAATTGAGAAAAAACAGATTATTTATTTAAAAACGTTATTAAATTCGAAAAATTGCATATTTTAGCATAAATTTAACTAATTTTTAATAATGGTGGTACTTTTTTTTAAGCAGCGGCATTTTTTCTATAGGCCGGAATGGGGAAGGGCTGGAATGGAACTTGAGCTGAGGAAATCAGCTGAGACGACATCCAAGATATTGTCCAAACATTTGAAAACATCACTTAACAAAAAAAAAATTAAGTAGGTAAATTTTAAATAAAGTAGAGAAGTAGATTTTGAATTTCAAAATTTTCATATCCTTTTTGTGCTACTTTTAAATAATATTAATAATAAATTAAACTTTAATAAATAAACACAAAAAAAACATACAAAACTTAAATCTTAATAGACTTTTAGCTAGTAACCATAGAAGTTTTGTAATTAAAAAATAGTCTAATTGAAATATCTTTGACTGAAGTTTCCCGTTACTCCTCTCAACATACCCTCGAGCTCCAAAGAACGTGATTTCATATCAAGAATACCAACCCTCCCTGAAGTGTGTCTTCAAGAATCCTACACAAGGTAGGATTTTTCCCACTTTTAATTGTTACTTCGATCGTAACAACAGCTAACAAAAGATAATTTCAATGAAAAAAGAATAAAACAATAAACAAAAACAACACTTCAACGTTAATTTTCAATACAATATGTCGATTATGCGTTTTTTTAAAGTTATATTTCTACAATGGACCAATTGCATCTATTTTTTCATAAAGGCCGCATGCGTAAATTTCGCCCAATTTTTAACCGCAAAAAAGAAATGATCCAATCGCAATTTTGAGTAAAACCTAAGTTAGTGTTATCTGTGCGAAGTTGGTTGTCTGAAGCATTAAAATCCAAATTTAAATTAATGGATGCACTTATTTCTCCCCCCGCTCATGCGGTCTCTTTATTTATTCTTTATGCAGTAGGTGGATTTTTTACAGCATTATTAATTTTATTAAATTTTCTAATGGCATTATACTTTATAATCGTACTTAAAACAATTCTTAAATAATGATGTTGTCTGGTTTGGGATAAAAAAAATTATTAAGTTTAAAAGATTAAAATAGTGTAAAAAATATTAAATAAATATCAATAATAAATTTTCTCAAGAACTGTGCAGATTTGACTTACCTATGTTATTATTTTTTCAGTTTTTTTTCTCTTAAAATAGCATTTTACTAAACTTCAACAAAAAAAGCAAGTAAATACAAATAAATGTAGAACAAACCATCATTTTGATTGTATTTTTTTTAAGAATGACAGAGTGAAGAATTTTTTGCCAAAAAGAGATATATTGTGACATTTCTTTGAAAACGTCGAATTTAGTCTATAGACAATAAAAATGAGAAAAAACTTGCAACTCAAAAATGTTTTTGGGCAGTGTTTTTGTGTGTATTTTGTCACACATTTATTTGTTTTTTTTTATTTTTCAATCATGCCTCAAGTGTTTAGTCAGAATGAAAACCGAATGGAAATTATTTTATTATATCTTTCATTTCAGAATTTCGGCTCTCAAGCTTTTAAAGCTCCCAGGAGTTTCGGTATTAGAAAACTGAATTTACCTGTGAATTTGGCTAAGTTGTTTTCACCACACATATGTAAATAAATACGCCTTTAAAAAATCAATGTTTGGTATGAATTTGTGGTAGAATATTAGTTTGGCAATTTACAAACAGAACCCGCAAACCAATAATAATCATGTAGCAGAAATGACAAAGTTGTAGCGGGTTCGGGGCGCATATCTGTTAGTGAATGTGATTAATGGGGGGGTCCTTTGGGATTACGCCCTGTTCCCTCGCCATCCTAGCACGACAGACGTTCCTCGAGGGGATTCTCGAACCCGCAGGGCACGCCATCGCCCACCTTGCCATACTCAGACCTGTTCGCTCTATACCTGGCTGTATATTGTTTGAAAATGCTCTCAAAGTGACTGTTTTTATCTTTTTTTATTTCACTTCAAGTAATTGCAACTGTTGATATTTTACTTTCGAGGGCTTGGTATTTTTATGTATTTGTAACATGCGGGTGTTGCAATATACACTCGTCAATCTAATAATTAATCGACTGTCAACTCTCCAGAGATTCGGCCAATGCAAATATTCGCATTCATTTCAACCACCCCGTCCTATCTATTCTCCGGTCGATTGATTGGCCAGCACTAAAATGGTGTATTTCATTGCTCGACTAATTATTTGTATGTTACATCCGAAAGATCAATTGCCAGTTACAATTTTATTTTTAATAACTTTTGCACATTCCAAAATTACAATTTAATCCACAATATAAAGACATATAGGGTGGAGCGGAAACATTTACCAATAGCTAAAAGTATAGTAGTTTGCTCTTTTTTTTAAAGGATTTTAACTACCTTCCTCCAAGAGTTGTCAACACTGATTTTTAATATTAGGTATTAAGTGGTTCCATGTGACGGCTACGCCAGCGACTGTCCCTTAAAACGATGATAATCGACGATAAAGTCGTGACGTTTAAATTTGAAAGTCACTGTTGATAAATTAAAATTTCCGATTTGTGGTCCACTTGGTGACAAAAATCACAATCACTGCTGTCTCTGCATTATTCAGTATTTGCAATTTAATTTCAACGTTACAGGCCACTTTGATCAAAAATTTAATTAGTTTAACGCACTATTCAAAAATTATAATTTTTTGTTAATTAGTTTTTGTTTAAACTGAGTCATCCTGTATGCAATATGGGTCAGTGCAATATTGGGCAGCTGTAAGACTTTTTTTATAAACAATTATTGAGAAAAATAAGTTTATTGATTTTAAAAACTTAATTAAACTTAAAAAGTAGTACATTCTAGTATTAACTTACAATAATTGTAGTACTTTTTAATTTTCTTTTAAAGATCGATTTTTTTTCTATAGGCTGTTACTTGAACCTAAAAAATCAACTGATACACATCATTGTCTAAACTTCTGAAAACAACACACATTTAAATGTTAAGTAAAAAATATATAAAGCAAGAATAATTTGCGAGGCACTGAATCCAAAGAAATTTTTCACCTTGCATAAAATGCAAATATCAAGTTTTGACTATTTTTTTTTACTACTTTACTACTAGTAAAGAAGCAGATTTTCATTTCAAAAATTTTCGTATCATTTTTGTCCAATTTTCAAATAATAAAAATAAATTAAACATAAATAAAATAAATAAACACAAAAAGAAACCTAGAACTTAAAAATATGTAACTAAGTAAACAACAAACAATGTTATGATTTTTTTGTTAATCAGTTTTCGTCTAAACTGAGTCATCGTGTATGCAAAATTGGTCAATATTGTGGTTTGATTAAGGTCGCTGTAAGACTTGCGTCCTGTTTGTGGGGTTTTGAATTAAGCAAATGGTAAAGTTTTTGATGAAACAGGAGTTTTGTTTGAATTGTTGTCCCAGGTGAGGTTTGGAATTTCGGCTCATGCCTCTGACTGCTCTGTGACCATCGTTCTGTCGGACTTGCGCTTCTAAACCTTCACCGCTGGCTATTGCCGTGTTCAGTGGCCCCATTCCGCTGTTCCAACGTTCCGCTACCTCAGGGGTTTGCAGGCCCGGCGAGCGCGACTCCCAAGGGAACCATGGATGACCATCATTGCATACATATACGGACGATATTGGTCGATAGATAAGCCCTCTCGCAAGTAATACCACATATACTAGACATCAACTTTAACACAAAAGATACTCTTTTAAATAATAAACATCAAAGAATGCGATATCACTCTAATCAGAATTTTATTTTACATGCAATTATATCGTAAAATACGGAATGCTATTAATGACGTCACTGAGAATTTTACTGCATTTACTATTTGCATATCAAAGGTTTTTTTCTAACATGAATGTTTTTATTACTGTACAGTGAGATAGCAAGCGGGGACGTCTCATCTGTAACAACCTGTAGACACCCATTTCTTTAGAGAAAATAATTAAACGAAGGATTATTATGATGGACAAGTTAATTCGCGGTGTATCAAGTAAGAGAGCCGACTAAATTGCGCACAAAGCTTCATATTATTTGGAAAATATTTTTGTCATGTCGATGGAAAGTTTAATTAGCAGAATCTGTTTTGAGTGTAAAATATCTAGCAGTAATAATAGTAGTTTATACGTGGCAGTTGAGTTTGCAGAGTTAGCTACCAGGCGAGCTATACGACTCCCAGGGGAAAATGTCATGGGAGCGCATATTTCCCTGTCTGTACGTTGCCGTTCCCTGGACCCCCCACGCCTCCTGGGGCTCGCTGCCTCTCTCACCACCCAATGCTGGAGAACCGCAATATCGAAAACCCTCCGTACCGGGGGCACTTAAAAACTTTTCGACGCGGTGCACAATTATTTCAAACACAAAACCGCAACGACTTTCGACCTTAATTAATTACCACTACAATTGTAATTAACTGATAAAAACCACCACTCAAATTGTGTCCAAAACACAGAATTTTTGAATTCGTAACAAAATTTCGCATGATACGTTAGTTAATACAATAGTTCAAATTTCTAACTTAATCGTGGTTTTAATGACCTCGTGTGATGTCAGTGGTACCACTTGTTCCTCTAATGTTACTACAAATGATACAGAAACTGCGACAGCTTTAATTAAGTTAATGCACACATTTCAACAAAAAATGCAAAATACTACGAGAGTTTTATCGGAAAAACGTTAAAATTCAAATTAATTTAGAAATCGTCTGTCTCGTTTGCATTCATGTCACAAACACCTGTTAAACCACTGTGTTTTCAGGTAAATAGTTCTGAGAAAAGTGCGACTTTAACCGCCTAAAGGCGTTTTTAATAGGATTAATATTTGATTCTAAATGACATCAAATTATGGATAAATAAAGCAGTTTATAATGGTATTATAATTTGAGTCTTTGTGTGGGCCCTTGGACAGAGCACGTGGCGTACTCGCTATTGCCATTGGTCATTTTTTTTTTAAATTTACCTAATTTGGCAGGATTAGCTTGCTTCCTTCTGGACATATCTAACTTCTTTTGATTATTCCAAAACTGATGCACAAACCAACACATTTATCCCCGTTTTTGCCACCAACTTTGAGTGTTTCACTTTTGGATAAGATGTTTGGTACAATCATGACCCCATTTGTCATCCACATGTAAGTTGTCACGCACTGGATTATTATATGTTTCGGCAAAACGTAAATGTTAACGTGAACGGCATGTGTTGTGCTATGTAGCGTCGCGACGTTAATACGGGAACGGAGCTTAAACTGGACCGAGTCTAGTTTGATCACAAAAGCGCGCGCATTTGCATCCCGTGGGAATAACGGCGCGATGTTCACTGTTAGTACCTTACTATCCTGGTGAAAACTTAATTGAATGATCACACATGGTAACAATATATGATCTTAGCTGTCTCGGGTGGAACTGCGACTAATTCTATACACAAAAAATTACTTAAATTAATACAAGCTATAAATAAATAAAATTAAAAAACTAACAATTTTTTATCTCAGTCAAATAGTTTTTATGTAGAGTTAATAATATTTAATACAACTTTAGACTATTAAATTAATTATTACAGTATGTAAAACAATAAAGAACGAAAAAAACCGATCCATACTTCATTAAACTATATTTTCGAATACAAATTAACAAAAATGCTAA